TGGTGGAAAGTGGTGGCGGAGGAGATTGCTGGGAGCCTCGGAGGGAGCCTCGGAGCCGCGGATCCTTGTCGCAAGCTACCAAGTGCCTGGACGCACGCTCTTTGCGGCAAGTGCCGCATTCGCGTTGGCGGATCTCCTCCGGACTTTTGCCAACCAGGGCTCCACAGAGACTTCTGCAGCATGCTGGGGCTCCCTTCGTCCAGCTTCCCGGCACGCTGGTTCCATGGCCGTGTAGAAACGCATGGTTGTCCTGCGACAGCTCTCCGTACCGCAGCTGTTCCTGCACTTCGGTCAACCATGTGTCGGCGGTCCGCTCGCAGCGTACGAGTTCAGTGACACCTTGCGTGCCCACTGCCGGCCCGCCCCACAGCAACGTCTGACCGTGCAAGCCTGTGCTTTGTTTGGTTCGCCTCTTTCCGGTCAACCAGTCCCACGGCACATCCCCTAAAAAGGTTCCTTTTGGGGGGGGGCAGCTGATACAAATCGCCGGCCAAAATCACGTTCAGGCCACCGAACGCTTCCACGACGCCGTCGTCCCGGAACTTAGCCAGGCTGAGATCGCGCATGATTTCGCGACATCGCTGCTCCAACTGCGCGAGCAGTTCTGCACTCACCATGCTGAACTCATCTAAAATCAACCAGCGCCATTGCAATGTTTGTTGTGTGCGAAGCAGTGTGCGTAAATGACTTTGCTCCCTTTCTCCCGCCCAATTTAAGCCGAGCGCGTGGTGGATGGTGTCCCCTTCTAGCAGCTCTGCCATGACTGCTTGAAAACTGACCACTTGAAAGTGGATACCATGTGTCCAGCCCAACGTTGTTTCAAACAACTCTTTTCGTATCAGTTTCAGTGTGTGTGACTTGCCAGTTCCGGGGCCACCGTGGAGCACCCAACGTAGGGGTTTCGAGTGGGGCACGCTTGGTTCCAGCTGGCTGTCCTCCAATTCCTGCAGTACACGCGCGGCGACTTTCGCACAAAAGCTTTCTTGTTCCGGGTTGCACGCCGCTGTTTCCGCAAGCTGAGCACTCCAGGTTCGTACCGCGTCTCTTATGTGCGTCGGGGCACAGAACACGGCTGCTGATCGCTCCTCGATCGCTAGTAGACCGTGCTGGGTCGTAGCTGGCTTGGCTCGAGCCGCTTTGCGAGCCGCCGCGCAACAAATTACCTCATAGGTCGCGGACTGCTTGGGCGTGGGTGGCTGGGTTGGGATTGGGGTACACCACAGAGTGTCTGCTTGCTGGATTGCTTCTTCTGCTCGGTTGCCCTGTTCATCGTTCTGCGCGGAGTTCTTTTTTCGCCGCTGTGCGGGCAACTGCGTCCGCAACGCTCCGGGTAACTGCGCTGTAGTTAGAACAATTGGCTCGTCAGCTCCGTCGTCATCACTATTACCGTCGGCTTCCGCGTGTGGCCGCACCCGATACACGGATAAAAAGTTGCCTACGTTCCGTTTCGTTTCTGCGCACGGCAAACGCTGCAGCCAGTTGCGCAAGGAGTCTTCCCAGGACTCGTGCTTGCCGAGCAAATGCCCCAGGAAAGGAACGTTTTCCGACTCCTCGGCGCCATTCAGGGTCCACGCACGGAAGTATAATTGCGTCAGCCTGGCATTGGCTTCTGAATTTTCCGCCAGGTACTTTGGCACCGGGCAATTGGAGAACTGTGGGCACTTTGGTCGCGCACGTCGCTGCAGATACCAATTGCGCCGTAAGCTGGCTGTGGCACCGATGCGGGAGAAAAGAATGCGGTCTGGGGTCGCTTCTATGCGTATCGTGTACTCCGTACCCGGCCGCAATCGTGCAGGTGCCTCGCGCACCGTTGCGCGTAGCTTGCGCTCTCCCGCCGGCGTTAGGCGGATGTCCCACGCTGTTGCGGATCCTCAAGGCAGGCGTTAGGTCGCGCGCTTGGTGTATGATTTTTCGCGGCCGTATGCCGGATGGCCGCGTCCTCCTCCGGTCGGGAGTATACAACTTTTCGACAATTTGTGGTGTCGAATTAGACGGTGGAACGGCGTGGCCGGAAGCCTTGGAGGGAGAGTGCGAGTAGGGTGTTGCGGGCAGCTCCTGATTCACACACACGCATATGTGTATGTAGGGCATCGAGAGAGATAGGGCAGAGTCGGATCCTTAGACGTTCCACTCGTGGCTCCGCACTGGGAGGGAAGTCTCTGGAACGGTCGGGACTATGCAACTTTTGGCCGATTTGTGGTGTCGACTTCGATGGTGGAAAAGAATGGCGAGGGAAATTGCCGGGAGCCTTGGAGGGACGGGTGCAAGTAGATGTGCCCAGGGGTCGGCGGCAGGGGGCGTAGCCCTTACAATAAAGTATACAGTATACAAGGCTCGTGCGCGATTCAGGCAACTATTTTGAGGACATACACTATGCACGCATATATACGCACATTAATTTTAAACTCAAGCCACCACAGTCCCTGGTTCCAAGCCTGGCAAGCAGAGTGCAAAGCCAGCCAAGACCAACAGGATGGAGATGATCTGGGACGGTCCGTGGTGTAAACCGATTGCAGCAAACATGCTGAATTTTTACAGCCTCTGGTCAAGCAAACAGGAGGCAGCTGATATCAAAGGTGTATAGACTTTGGCTGAGAGGCTCTTTCAATCAACATGCGTATCCTAATGACGTATCGAACCCTTTTTCCATTTAATAAATGCGATTGGCTCTGGTTTGCCAATCTGTCGAGATTTCAAGAGAAGCCATCGCTTCTGTTGTGAGTTTTGAAAGAAGCCCTAGCTCCGAGATTTACGTAGAAACCCTAGTTTCTACATTTAAGGAGAAGCCCTTGCTTCTCCTGCGACGCCTGTACAACCACAACCAAAAGAAGCCTACGCTTCCGTTGCGAAGCCTGTACAACCACAACCTAAAGAAGCCCTAGCTTCTGTTCTCTGTTGTGAAGCCTATACAACCACAACTGAAAGAAGCCCTAGCTCCTGTTGTGAACAAAGAGAAACCCCACCAGCTTCCCTCGGAATGGATAAAACACATGCAGCCCTATCAGCTCGCATTACAAAATTGATCAAACACTGACGAAACAATGAACCACGCAATCTCAAGCCGAAGCATGGCCCATGGAAAATGACCCCGTGGTCTAATGAAAAGCAGGAGCTCCCAACTACCACGTTCATTCCTCATCACTTCTTCCAACAATCTCTTGGAACTTCTGTGGAAATCTCTGTGCACCCACCATGAACCTCTTCACTCTGCGTGTGTTTGCCTGATGTTCAAGGCGACCTGGTGGCAAAGGAACACCAAGAGGACCATCAAAGGTTTCATCGTGCTTCTGGTCCCATGACCGGAAGCTCGTGAGCTGCTCATCCTCAAAATCAACTTCCTGAAACGTGTCTTCACCCACCTGAACCGAGGTCACGGAAAATGCCACTCTGCGAGATTCCACGCCTTTGGGTTGCGCGTCGAGCGAGTCCGACAGTGACGACATGAGTGGAAACTCTGACGGCAAGTCCGACAGTGACGATGCTGAGGAGGCGGATGTGGCCAATGCAGCGGATGGCTGGACCACTGTCATTGGATCAGAAAACTCCTCAGCACTCACGCGTCTCACACTTGCTGCACAGCCCATGGGAAGAGGTGCCCTGCCGAGGTCGAGGTCTGCGGTCGAGCCCTGACGGTACTGAACTGTCTCCCTCCGTGTCGAGCCAGGCGGCACCAATGTCAAACGAGTCAGAACACTGCAGAACTCCAGAATGTTTGGAGAAATGAGCAAAACATGAGAAGTTGGAGCACCAAAAACATCCAAAAACCCTGCCTGCTGCGCTGTAGAGACCTGGTTGATGGCCTGATGTCAAGTTCTTTTTATGGATTCTGATGGGTCACTTGTCAAGTTTGCGCTTTTGCGCCCTTTGGATCCCTTAAATGTGACTACACTCCCACAGCAAACGCAGCCTCCCGGTTCTCTTTCGTTTCTCTCATGTCACTTGAGTCAGTTTCTGTACCTTTCCGCTGTTCAATCTCACCGACTTCCCCGGGCTGCGATTTCTTGCGCCTCCTTGGGCGGAGCTTCTGCACCTTGCTGCCAGATCCAGGCCTATAGAGCGGCAAAGCGCTCGACCAGTGGTGAAGAACATCCTGACATCCTTTTGGGCATGAAATGGCATGAATGTATTTTGCACAGGCACCCATTTCATCCCAGTTGAAATGTTTCATGAAAATAATATAATTCATTTCATACTTTTCTGTATATCTAATTACTGGGGGCCCCTGTCCAGTGCTTTGCCACTATCTCTCTCAGTAGCAGCTCGTTTTTCATCAAGCAATTGCCCCAATTCCGTCAACTTCTCCAACCCCCCCAACTTCTGGCATTGACTTCCTAAGGGGCATCCGTTTCGGAAGATTCCGAGAATCAAACAGGGGGATCTGAAAAGTGGCACATGTTCAACCCAAACTCATTATGCTACTCACTCTAGAGAGACTCTCCTAAAGTGTCTGGCCCACTGGATAATACGTAGTCATGCAGTCGCACATTCTCTTTCTTCAAGAAGAAGTCCTCTCCCTTCCCAGGCCAGGCCGAGGCCGTCACAGTGAAGGCGAAAGCGAAGTAGAGCGCCCCGGTGTCATCCGGGCCCTGGATCCGGTGCCGAGGCGAGACACACAACCAGGCCTACAAAGGCCTACAGGTCATGGAAACGCCATGAATCAATTGCCACAAAGGCAAACAAACTGCCACCAAGCGAGCTCTGAACATCTCTGAACTGTGTGTTTGTGTTTGTGGACACACTTCGGAAGAAACCCTGAAAGTACCCGGAAAATGGATACATTGAGATACCTGGTGCAGGTGTGGTGATCTTATTCGGTCCTCGGTTGAAACAGCGCACTGGTGTGTCTGAGGCGTCCCACGAAGCTGCCGTAGAGCAGAAGGGCCCAAGCTGCGCAGAACGGTGCCAAGCCGCTTTTGGATCGTATCGATATCTATCGATTCACCTTGAACTCAGTTGGACCTGATTGAGGTGAGAGTGAAATTAAGGATATCAAAGGGTCGCGGTGAAGAGTCAAAAGAGCGTGAAAACACCTGGAGTAATATATTTACTGGATTCCGCCGTGCTGCCTGCAAGGCCTAGTGGGCCAGCAGCACCGCCAAGAGCATTTCGTGCCAGGACCCTGGGCGTCAGAATCGAAGTTGGGCACACTCTTTAGTAAAGTGGATGGATTTTGAACAGCACATGCTTTGTTGTATGAGTAGCAAACCGGCTTGCAAAGAGCGGTAGAAATCACTTCATAGACTTGTTCTTCTTCTTCTTCTGCTTCTTCTTCGTTTTCTGTTTCTTCTTTCTTCTTCATCCTTGGGCATTCATGTCTTTCAGGCACTTGAGGTCTCATCGCTGCATGTGTTGGTACAGTCCAAGTTTGTTTTCGATGCAACCATCCAGATTGATCGTCTTCTGTGTCAGGGACTGGCCGCACAGCATTGCACTCAGAGGACCATTGAATCTGACATCTGAACTTGGCGGTGAGATGTCCGCACATTCCATTGACACGACTCTTGTGAAACCTATGTACTCGAACATGGGCAAAGTCCATGTCAGTTTCAGTGACCTTGCTAGATCATTGACATTCTTCATGGGACCGCCACTACAGAACTCACTTAAAGCATACACAAAATAATCACTTCCTCCTCAGGCCACCGGAACGGAAGCTCCGCTCACGGCGGAGAAATTCCACAGGTAGTGAGATTCACCCCTATGCATGGTCTCAATCACTGGCAAACCAAACTCACCAATCAACGCACAAACAAAATCCCGAACTTACTTCAAAACGAAAGTGAGGGTCTAGACACCAATAACAAGCAAAGCTGCCAGACTTTGCGCAAATTGATTCGCAAACTGTTTAGGAAAAAGAGCGAGCAGGAAGCCTCAACTGTATGGCAAAGCCTTTTCATATTCGGTGCCCAAACAGCTGGCCCCGCTCTCATGTCTCGAAAAATCTAAGGATATACTCCGGATAGGCCTGGTCTGGTGAAAAAGTCACCACTTCTGTGTGGCTTTGCCGCTGAGAGAACCCGTTGAAAATCCCGGGCTGGGCGATGATGGAATCGCACCGCCATTCTTTGCTTCCTGTAGTAGTAATGATTGCCTTCATAGGTGGTCCTAGGCCGTGGATGAGGCTTGCCCCGACCATCCCTAACATTTTTTTCACGCTTCAAAGCTGTGACCTGTGTTCACGTTCGAGCATAAAAACTTAAAATCCGTTTGTATACACTTGATTGCTTAAGGCACGTTCGGTATCAGAACAACGTCCTGTCGCGTAGTGGGGATCACCAATTGCGACTCTCGCAACGAGCATGGTCCCGAGCATATTGGGCGATGCTTTTGCGGTCATTCCTGATTCTGTTGCATATTGTGCACTTTTGCATGTCTGCGATGCAAAATAGCTTCCCTTGCCATACAGCCCGTTACTATTGGCGATCCGGCTGTCAAAACCTTCTTTCGCGATCTGTTCTGCCAAGGCAAAAGTCCTCGTCCCATGAAACAACAGTCGATCATTCACAGATTCATCGACCTGGATCTTCTTGGCAAATTCGGTCAGTGCATTCCCCACAGGTGGTTGGATGACCTCAGGGGTGATGCCCTCCAGCCTGTGCTTTTCCCGAATGCTTTGACCAAAGCGCTGGAACCGCCGCCATAATATCAAATTTTTGATCTGGAATGCCTCCTTCAGCTGAAACCTTGAACTTCCATGCAGGCAGTTACAAGCGGTACCATCATGACGCAGCAACGATTGATTCAAGAGGTCTTGCAAGTCTGACAGTGTTTGTTGGTCTTCCACCTTCTGCACAACTTTCCATGGGTGCACATCACACGTCTGAGTGGTTGTTGAGGGAGATCTTGGACCCCTCCCAAAAATATCAAAAAAACGTGCAGCCAACGACCTCTGAACTGACAATTGAGAGGGTGATCTTGACCCTTCTTGAGGATTCTTGGATGTGTCCTTGAGAGACTTCAACACATCTTCATCCTTCAACTCCCAATGGCTCGGTAACGGAAAGCAGCAGCGAATCCTTCGAAGCTTTTGGGTCACTGTGTTCATCTGCGACATCTCTTTGAAACTGATCGTGTATAACCTCCCTCCCATATCAATGTAGCACTCCTCACTGCCATTCAGAAAGTCCTCCATAAGGAGTTTGCTGGCATCGGCCTTAGATTTGACGAAGCAAATATATATATATATATTTATGTATATACTGGAATTTCTTGGTCGCCTTCCGGCCCCCAACATGGATTCTTCTGATTTACAGGAACAACAAAAGCCCTCCAAAACCATCTCCCACGGAAAGCTCAGAGGCCAGAAAAGGCACCCAATGACCACCGTCCTCTTCAAATTGCCATTCGCACCATTCGCCCTCGGACGAATTTCCATTCTGCACCACCTTGCGTTGATGCAGCAAACCTTCAATCATGTTGCGTTGATGCAACAAATCTTCAATCCTCTTCTTCATATATGCATTCTCATTCTCCAGACGTGTGATCCTTTGTCCTTTCAGCCGCAACTCATCATGTGCTTCATGTGCTTGAAGCTGAACGTGATTGAGCAGGTCTTTCACTGCGATGTTCTTTTTCTCCAGCCTTTTGGTGACACACTTCTGTTTGTCCAACTGCTCTCTAAGCTGCTCATTTTCTTTTTCGCGCTGGGTGAGTTGGCTCCTCATGTGCAAAGCGCTGGACTGAAACAAACCCGCCCTGCAAGCAGTTCAACCCTGGAACATACTGCTACGCTCAAAATGTGTTGAATTCGATTACATTGTATTTACCAGCGACCAAGGCTCTGCAGGTCATCATTACGACGTGCAAATTGCGCTGCTTCATCCTCCTTTCTTGTCAAGTCCTGGCTCCCAGCATAGACACACGGGAGACAGAATCTAAACCTTGCAGAGTTTGCAACAGGAATCGCAAGTGAGCAAGGGCCCAAGACAGGAGAAAGAACAAGAGCACCAAAATGAATACAAGCGCGAGGCTGCCAAGTAAATGTACCGTTGAGGCCAGTTCATTGTCATTCCGCCCTGTTGAAGCTGTGTTTTGCATTATGGCATAAAACATGGTTTGCCTACTGACCAACAAGACCTCGGCTCTGCTCGATAGCTGGTCGAAAACACAAACAGTGTCACAAAAAACAAGCAGGTTCTCATAATTGTTGTCAAAAACAATATCTAGTAGTCCAGTGCAACCAGTGCGTGCACTGATCCTTGACAAACCAGGGAGCTGCGTCAGTCCACAAAACAAGGGGTATGAAGGCGGTATCTCGAAACAACATGCAGTTTGATCACCATGACTAACGTGAAGACTTTGACACGAAACTCCACATGTGAGTCCTGTCTCAAGCGCTGATTCTCTCTTGCTGCGCGGCTCTTGCGCTCTCGTTTTGAATGGCCAGCAGCTCCTCAATTGTCGGGGCTGGCCAACAACCGCAACACAAACAAATCTCGGTACGCATTCTGTACACCAAACCACAACAGTTCGACTCGATGCATTCATTGTGTTTGCTGCTTCTTTGCTCGGATTTGGTTGGTGTGTGTGTGTGTGTCACCCCCTGTTTCAAAGGGTTTCGGACCACCAATTCACTTCACATGCAGGGGGCAGGAGTGCCATTGCAAGTCTCCTGCCAACGAAGACGCTTGCAATTGGCAGTGAAGCCAGACCTGATCAGTCTGGCGTACCTGCTTTCAACACTGACTCCAATGGTCCACCCTGCCGCTGTTTGTTGGTTTCATGGTTCTTCTTCATGCTACTACTCTCCCCCAAACCCTAGTTTCTGCAGCCGCGCCGCGCCGCTCGTCTCGCCACCGCTGATTTTTGCAGACATGTGAAACAACCTTTGTTCAAACACCTACAATTTCTCGGACCTTTCGCCATGCGGTTCTCTCACCTTCCTTCCACCTGGGAATTGAGTTAACTGAAAACCAATGTCAGAGTGTGAACCGCTCAGCCGTCCCACTTGGGTGCTGGGTGTGATCCCCGTCACTGGGGCGCTGTCTTCATGCCGGATTTTCACTAACTGCTTCCATCGTTTCCACCGTTCGTTGGATTCTCTTAACTGACTTAGTTTCACTACTGAATTGTCTGATTTCAAAGCCGCCTTGCTTTTACGGCGATTCTCTTTTACAGACTTTCAATTAGATTTTCACTCGGAATTTCTCTTACTGACTTTCAATCAGATTTTCATTTACAATCTCACTTGCAGCCGGATTTTCGACTTCAAGGATGTACAGTCAGGACGTTCGATCACACTTACTGTGAGATCCACCTTGTTCACTTTCAACCATTTTCACTATCACTTTCATACAAGATTTTCCACAGTTGCCACTCCACCATTTCTCTCATAATTTCATCTACCATTTGTAGAGCCTCTCAGCTGCCGACGCGCTGCGCTGGTGCCATTGAGCAGCTGTCCGATCTTGCCGCCACAGCAGTTTCAACCGACATGCAGTATCCTTGGCCATACCCGTACACCACACAGCCATTACCTCCAACAGCACCACCGACCTTTCCAGTTCCACAAGCACCGCCACATATACCTCCTATGATGCCACCCATGCAGACCACTATGCCACACTTCACTACCTTTTATCCACCTTCCAGCACCGCAGCCAACTTTACCTCCGGCCTTTCACCCTCCTCCAACATACCCGTTCCCCTACACCCAGCCGCCACCAGAGCCCACGCACACACCTGCCACCGTTGCCTCTCCAGTCACTACTCCACCACAACCCACTCAAGCTCCTGCTGCACCACCGTCCAACCACTCGCCTCCGCAACCAACAGTGGCCCAATGGACCCTCAACAAGGAGTGTGGCAGCCATTTTCGGTTTTTCCACCAGTGGTACAACAGACACATCCCTCACCGACCGCACAAGCCATCTATGCCACCTCCTACGCCCCCAACCATTCCACAGTCACCGGCATCCACCGCTCCGCCAGCGCCAGATGCTGCGACAACGGCTGACCAAGCATCCTCAGCCACCATACACTCCAACAACACCCCGCCACCCTGAGGATCAGCCCATTCCGATCACATCAACGCCACACAAGCAACTGACCCACCTTCCACCCTGCCAGCGCAACAGCAGCCACCACCGCCACCACAAAAGCCACATCGTCGCCGAGAGCACGGCCGACGCCGTCGCCACCGCCAGCATCGCAGACACCACACCAGGGGCAGGCGTACGCACCGCCAGCCACGCACGACACATCACCACAGATCTTCTCGCGCCCATCGATCACGTTCTCCTTCCTCCTACTACTCCTACTACTCCCGCAGCCGCTCACCCTCCCGCAGCCGTTCCAGACAACCCATTTCACTTCTGCCCAACACGGATTCACTTCAACAAGACGCCACATCCAACCAATCACAACCCAGCTATCCAACCACTCCAGCCCTTCGCAGGGCTGCCAATCCCTGGCGACCTCCACCGCATTTTCAACAAAAAACGCCACAAGAACAACTGGAGATTTGGCTGGACTACCACGCAGACCCATTTGACACACCCAACAAACCCCAACATACCTGTGTCGCCCGCGTGCTGCTGGATAGCGGCCTCACCTACAAAGACATATGCGACTACCGCCAACTCACCCACATCAAATGGAACGACAGCACCAACAACTACGACCTGTTTCACTTCAACTGTATTTCCATTCCATCCATGGCACAGAAGGCCAGTCGCCGTTTTCCACCTCCAGCTACACGTGCAACCTCCACGTCACCAGAACTTGTTCACATCGATGCCAGCCACACTGGCCCAGCCGGCAACATTACCAACATTCTCCAACAAGGCCGTTTCCTACCCAGCACCCTCCATTTTCCCAACAACTCGGGCTTCTTCGCCCAAGGCGTCCGCATCACTCAACGAGTCCAGCGCGACACAGTCCATCCTTGTCACTCTTCTCGCTTGGGGCACTGGCTCGAAGTTTACCAGCGGCGGAGAGGAGCAAGCTATGAACCTTCTCCACCAAAATCATGATGCTGTATTTCACGCCAACGCTCGCAGCGCAGAGAACGCCATGATCAAAGGCCTGGCCTGGTCTGCGAGCGCAACACCGCCAGACACCTAATCTCCCACTACCACCTCCTCTTCCACTACAACATCTTTCCCTACGCCACTTCCACTTTATCAACTTTGGCCATTTTTCACCATGTCTCAAATCGCAGCACATACCACTCGCTCCGCGACAAAATCAGAGCATAGCCAGAGCGTTTTGCAGCAATCGTGAATTCAGAACCCTGCGCGTAGTTTGCCAAACTAACGACCAATCATGTCGATTGCGTGGCAATCCGACCTTGTTGAACTTTTTTTGGGAGACTGGATCTCCCTCTCATGACTTGAGAAGTTTGCTGAACCGATCTTGTTTGGGTGTTTTTACGCTTCAGGTTCTCCTTTTTGGTGACTTGAAGATTGTGGCACTCTCATGATACATGCCGGATGATATGAATGCATTTTGCAAAATTCGATGCTCGATAATTCACCCTGCACGGCCCGTGTAGAACTCCATATAGCAGCTCACCGCGCCGCTGCTGTGCTTGCCGCGCCGACCTGCTGCCGCCACAGCCAGCTCCAACACAGACTCCTCACAGATATGGACAACAACACTGACCAAGCTAATTTGCTCCAGCGCACCACCGTGGCCCTCACACAACTTCACCGCTTACTCCAACAAGCAACAGACATCTTGGTCGATCTCCACAGTCTCTACCTAGTCCATACCGGACAGGTTGACACTCAGTTCCACCGCCCTTTTCCTCCACTTCCAGCACCTCCGACATTCACCGTGCCTATCCCCTCTCCCACATCCTCCTGCGATTCTGCACCAGCACATCCCAAACCTCCGGCACCTGCCAAGCCACCGGCATCCCTCGACACTACCAGTTCTTCTTCCTCCCCAAAACCCAAGCGAGCAACCAAAGAAAAAACGTGAGCCACCCCCGCCGTTCAATTCACAAGCAGACTGGGATGCTTGGGATGGCGACGCCGACTGTCGCCTAGTCGAGTTGAAGACAGACCTTCACCTTCGCCACAACTAGGCTTCTCCGTTGAGCAGTGCAATCCACGCTGGCAAGAACTTCAGGATCTTCGCGCCTCCAAGAAACAGAGACACAACCAGCACTCTCTCAGCCTTCTCAGCCCAACCCACCACTCGAATCATCAGCTCTCACCTACACTCCCACATCACCACGTCACAAACCTTCGGCAACCTCTCCTCTACCAGTTTCAGAGGCAGATTCTCCACCTCTACTCCACCTGATCCTACTCCACCACCTGCGGCTGCGGCGACTCCAGCGGCTGATGCGCAGATGCTAGGTGAGGACAGACATCCAGTCACCGGATGACCAATTTTTAGGGAGCTATTTCATTTGACTCGCCTGTTTCATCCACGTTTCACCCAAGCTCCTTTCGGCGCGCTGCCGGAAACAGAGGATGGCCAATACCGTCCTGACAGTTTGAGCCATCAGATGTTCAATTTTGACGCAATTTTGACTCGATCTCCGGTCTTGACTCGATTTCAGCGCGGAACTTTTTTCATACGTTTCATTCGATTCCCTTGGTTCGTCCCGCAGCCTTTTATGATTTTCTGGAACCTTTGATCGCGCTATCTTTAGGCCTTAGTTGAGCATGTCGGCCGACCGCAGCGCGCACCGGAACCTAGCTCCTGCAAGTGGCTCTCAACCTTCAATTACTCCACCGCAACAAGCCCACACCACGACCTCCACACCTTTCCTGCCGACAATCCACCCCTTCACCTGGCGCCATCCATCACACACCAACCTGAGCTTCTTCTACTCAGTTGGATGATCGATACTCTCTTCCAGCTCGTCAATCGAATCCTCGACCACCCAATTGCAGCAGGCCCCATGCCAGATCAATTCCACCAATTCCACCGCAGCTTTTTCCGCCTTGGACAAGCCACACTACACTTGATGCGAGCCAAACATTTACTCCAGTTCATTCCAGGACCTCCCGGCTCGCCCGCATGGATCCCACAGCATATTTTCCACCACACACAACCGATTTTGTCTCAACCAATCAATCCACACCTCCGCAATCTCCTGCACGCTCTCACCGCCACCCTCATCCCTCTTCTTTCTTCTCGACACAAGCAAGGCAGCGTTCCCGATCAAGGGACTGACCAACAGCTATACACCACCACCTGCCGATGTTGCGCAGCCGGCTGCAGCGGACCACGTCGACGATGATGCAGCCAGTGACAGCCATTGGAGCGATTATGCTCCCACTTCACTCCCTTAAGATCCAGTTTCACCCCACCGTCTTCGGCGCGCTTGCGGAAAACTTGCAACCGGTTTCATCACATTAAAACAGATACGCCTTTGTACTGTGTTTTGAACCTTCAATTTCACATGTCAACTTTACTGTTGGGTCAGTAGAC